TTTTGTTTTGTTTTGTTTTGTTTTATCAAATCAAATATCAGTTGTGCTGTAAGTATTTTTCTTTCTTCAGTGAACACACGTACACAAGCTGTCAGAAACAATGAGCCAAGAGGTGAGACTGTTTGCTGACAAAGTGATCCGATTTAACTTTTTAAATGTGTTTTTAGAATGAGTTTATATATTTTATATTTTTTTATATCAATATTTGTTTATATCAGTTAACAGAGGTGTTACAAACTCCCCAAGACAAGCCAGATCCCCGAGAGAGGAGAGAGATGACAGTAAGAAATGCGTCTCACACACTTTGACTCGTGTATGTTTGTCATCTGTAGTTTGTCATTCATGGTTTAGTTTCTCACTCTGCAGCTGACAAGAGTCGCAGTTCTTTGAGACCAAGAGAAACAGAAAGGAGAGAGGAAAGAGAAAACGATGGTGAGAATGAAACATGAAGATATAAAAACAAGCATCTGTCTGGTGTAGTTTTGCTCATTGTTTATTCGATTTCTCAGCAGACACCTGGAGTTTAAGTTCCGTGAGATCGAGAGGGAGACCGAGAGGAGAAGACAGAGATCAGGGTGAGTTTTAATGAGTGAAAGATGTCCAGGTCATATCCTATAAGACTGAAAAAGAAAAAGAAAATGCAGAAAATAAATGAAGCCTATTTTTAGAACCATAAAGACTTTTTATGACAATCTCATGATCATAATATGTCCAGATATTTTTACTTTTGAGTTATTCAGTTGTTAGTGTTATTAATGTAATACATTATTTTCTTTATATTAGAGTAAAATGAAATTATTGCAGTTTTTTTATCAGTACAACACTGATAGTGCGCTACAATGATCTTTAATCTCTAATATTTGTATGTATTCTTTATACACGTAAATAATTGACCATATACATACTTTATAAATATAAATATGTAGAGTATTGAGTGTCTAATTTACAGTTTAAATACTTTAATGTCATTAAACTCAGAGTATAAATGCACTAAATGCAGAGTAGAAATTAATTCTGGGGTGAAATATGACTCAAATGTATCCTGACATTCACCCTTTCAGTCAATTTCTATGATCTCTGTATAGAAAGAGAAAATCAGGCCTCTCAAAGACGTCAAAGCACACAGAGCAGAAACACACGTGATGAAGAACAAGGTGAGACGACACATGCAAACACCAGCACACTGTCATTTTGGTTTAAAGGAAAGATTCCAGATATTGTCCCTGACTTGAACCCCACTTTGCATTCTTTCTAAACCAAGTACACAATGTTCAAGCTGTTTTACTTTTAATTGTCAGCGGACCGCTGGAGTTTGAGTTCAATCAGACCGAGACTGAGGAGAGAGGACAGAGAACAAGGTGACGCTTGATTCATGTCTGATTATTGAAATTTAACACAGATGCTTTTAAGAATTGCATCATGTTTGTGTCTGTTTTCCTTGGCGACAGTCAATGGAGAAGCTCAGTCTAGTCCCTCACAGCAGAGATCAAACGCTGTGGACAGACAGCAGCCGGCCAGACAATGTGAGCGACAGCAGCTCAAACATACTCTACAATCAAATCAAGACTTTGTGTTTCTAATCCAGTTTATACATTTCCTCATTGTGTTCTTCATCAGCGGACAGATGGAGTCTGAGCTCTCTCTTACCTAGAAACAGGAAGAAGAGACAGGACACAGGTGAGCGAAAGAACACACACAGTATAAATAAGGACCTTTGATAAACTTCTGTTGCTTTTATGTACAACTAACTAACTTTTGGGGACAAAATATGTACCTGAAATATGCTCACATAAACCCTCACACAGTGAAAGCAAGCTTAGGCTTGTTAAGAAATCTTTACTAGTCATTCAGGTTTGTCTAGCATCCAGATAAATGCCTGTATTTCCTGCTCATGTGAACTGGGGTCAAAGAATATATTATCAAGTACCTCAAAATGTCCTTTGAATTTTTGTCTGTATTTGTTGGGTTTTCAAGCATGTGTCCAACAGCAAGAGCTAAATGTGTACATTATTTTTAGATTTTATAAACCTTTTGAATAAAATGTTTTGTGGTCAGTCATCATTACGTATTAAATCAATGATGTCATGAAACATGATGTCATGTGTCACATTTCAATCCCTCGCAGTGAAAGAGGCCACACCCACTCTCCAGGAGGCGGGGTCAGTGAGACCTCGTAGCCTCTCCCGTGCCAGTGCCTGTAAGTCTGTACTGTACACTGACGATTCAAGGATTATTTAAAAATATACATTTTGAATAAAATTATTTACATTTAGAAATTCATATAGTTTTCCATCTACATAATTTATAAATGTATACATTCAAATACAAATAACAACGAGAGGATGAAAATGGTCATGAAAAACGAAATTATGTTGTTTAAATAATAAAACAGTATTTTTTTTCTTAAATTGATCAAGTGACAGTAAAGACAGTAATGTTACAAAAGATTTATATTTCCAATAAATGCTGTTCTTTTGAATTCTCAATTCATCAAAGAGTTCTGAAAAAAATGTCAGCATATTAGAATGATTTCTGAAGGATCATGTGACACTGAATACTGGAGTAATTCAGCTTTGCATCCCAGGAATAAAATATATTATAATAAGAAAAAAAAATCATAATATTTCACAATATTATTGTTTTTACTCAAAAATACTACCAACCCACACATTTGCCTATATACACATAATCTGTGTATAGTCAAATTAGCTCTAAAAACAGAAAATTGTTGTAATTGTTAAATATCTAAAAACTAATATTGACAGTATCTCTCACCTCTCTGTAGGGGGAGAGCCAACAGAAGGTAATATTAATGTTTTTGTTTGTTTGTAGCTTTACAGCTAGTTAAAATGTAGTTAAACTGATTACCTGTAGGGGAAAGATTGATCATTGTTTCACTCTGTGTCTGTCTTTCTCTCTGTACAGTGAATCCTGGGCTGTTCCTGGACTCACCTACTGACAGTCCAGTCATCAATCCTGCTTTTCCCACATGTCAGCATTTACAACAATATCTTTTGCACTACACACACCATATTATGAAAGACAAATGGATGAAGAGATGGGTGGATAGATATATGGATGGATGGACAAATGGGTGGATGGATAGATGGGTAGATACATGGATGGATGTGTAGATGGGTAGATGGATGGATGGATGGATGCATGGATAGATGGATAGATAGATAAATGAATGTGTAGATGGATGGATGGATAGATGAATGTGTAGATGGATGGGTGGATAGATAGATAGATGGACGGACGGACGGATGGACGGACGGACAGACAGACGACGATAGATAGATAGATAGATAGATAGATAGATAGATAGATAGATAGATGGATAGATGGGTGGATAGACAGATGAATGTGTGGATGGATAGATAGATAGATAGATAGATATGTAGATAGATGGGTGGATAGATAGATGGATTGGTGGATGGATGGATGATAGATAGATGGGTGGATAGATAGAGGATGGGTGGATAGATAGATTAATGTGTAGATAGATAGATAGATAGATAGATAGATAGATAGATAGATAGATAGATAGATGGATAGATGGGTGGATAGATAGATGAATGTGTAGATGGATGGGTGGATAGCTAGATAGATAGATAGATAGATAGATGGATAGATGGGTGGATAGATAGATGAATGTGTAGATGGATGGGTGGATAGCTAGATAGATAGATAGATAGATAGATGGATAGATGGGTGGATAGATAGATGAATGTGTAGATGGATGGGTGGATAGCTAGATAGATAGATAGATAGATAGATGGATAGATGGGTGGATAGATAGATGAATGTGTAGATGGATGGGTGGATAGCTAGATAGATAGATAGATAGATAGATGGATAGATGGGTGGATAGATAGATGAATGTGTAGATAGATAGATAGATAGATAGATAGATAGATGGATAGATGGGTGGATAGATAGATAGATAGATAGATGTGTAGATGGATGGGAAGTTGGATGGTGGATGAATGGATGTATGGATGGATACATGGATGAGAAGATGGATTGGTGGATAGATACATGGATGATGGATGGATAGAAAAATAGACAGATAGATATAAAGACAGACAGATTATTTAATAAACTGTTCACCACCATATGAAGATTAATATTAATGTCCTATTAAAATGTGTGCAGTTCATTTTTCAAAACAGCGTTCTTTTTTAGATGTAAATTTCTATATTTCCTTATAGCTTTTGTCTGAATCTTTTTTTTTTTACAGTGCGAGAAATTAACATTGAGAGTATTCAGGCCCCAGAGCCCAGAATCAGAGACGAGTTCCTGCAATGTGAGTTCATTTCTCACACATCTTGTCTTTTCATTCTGTTTTTTATTTTCTCATCTGTTTGTCTCTCTCTCTCTATTAGATGCTTGTGATTTGACCCTGGATCCAAACACGGCCCATCGGCGTCTGGTCTTGTCTGATGGAGACACCGTGGCCACCCTTCAGCAGACGTCTCAGCCGTTCCCCGACCTCCCTCAGCGCTTCGACGGCTGGACGCAGGTGCTCTGTCTCCAGCCCCTCTCCTCCGACCGCTGCTACTGGGAGGTGGAGTGGAGGGGGTGTGGCTCCTCTCTGGGTGTGGTCAGTGGTTCCATGTCCCGCAAAGGGGCGGATACGGGGGCGGGGCTTGGGTATAACAGCCAATCGTGGAGCTTGGAGCTGTCAGACATGTGCTGTGCAGCCATGCACGCCAATAAGAAGGTGGAGATCCCTGTGACCTACAGCCCTCGAGTCGGGGTGTTTCTGGACAGGACCGCGGGGACTCTGACTTTCTATAGCGTGGATGACGAGTTGGTTCCTCTCCATGCTTTTCAAGGGTCATTCCCACCACCGCTGTACGCTGCGTTCGGGGTGGGCTGTGGGGTCGGCGTGGGGCTGGATTTTGCCATGGGGCAGTTGAGCTCCACGTCAGACAGCATTAAAATCTGTACCTTGTGAACTGAGCGAATCTCACAAAAATAATATGCAGGTCATATTTCACCCCAAAATCAAAAGAAAGAATTATATTTTGCAAGAAAATGAAGCCTATTGGTAAGACGAAAATTATTTTTCATAAAGATTCAGTACTTTCCCCTCCAAATTTATATTACCATAATGTTTCTAGTAACATTTTTGTACAATTATGATTTTCATGTCTGCAATACAGCCGTTAATCATTCTGTCTAGACAAAAGTTTTTTTTTTTTTTTTTCCATTGAACGTGTTTTTCCTACCCTTTTTTGGGACCAGGATTGAATGGTTATGGCAAATAATTACTAATATAAATTATTAAAATTATTATTACATTCAAATATGTAATTATACTATACATAAATTCAATACAAATAAATAAAAATAAGCACATTTTCACTTTCATAGCTTATAGCTCAACATTTGTTTGTAATTCTCATTATTCAATTATGATTTTAATTTTGGCAGTACAGCAAGATTTGTAAATCTGCAAAAATCTAATATTTTAGTTATAGTAATAAGAATGATAATGTTACAATACATAAAACAAAGTTGTGGCTTTAATTCTGAAGATATGTTTAATTTTTTATGCAAAATGTAATTTATTTTTCTCTTCTAGACATGTTTATCCACCCTTTAAGGAATAAAAATTGTATGGTTATGGCAAATAATTATTAACATAAAATAATTATTCATGTAAAGCAAAATAACTTATGCATGAGGCAAATTATTTGTATTGTCACTATAATAAACCAAAAATGTTTGTAAACGTAAAATGATCTTGAATAAAAAGCAAATTTTTAGCTCCTGTGTATAGTTATCAAACTCCTCAGGATGAAATTACAGGAACACCGACATGAATTTGTTTGTTTTATTATTAAAAAAACACAACATAATGCTACTAATACAGGGTTCTGACAGCTAAACACAGGAAATCACACCAAGGCTGTGGTTACTATGTCAACAGCACAAAAGAAATCACCTGGTGCTTGATGTCACAACTTGTGGCATCATCTTCAAGCATTGACCTTTGACCTCAATGGCAGCAGAGAGCTTGATGACATCAACAGCAGGATGTAAATAAGGACACTTTGATACAGAAATCAAATCATGTGTTTAGTACCAAACACTTCCGCTGGGATTAGAGATAAAGCTAGTGATGTATAGATGCAGGTATTATTCTGAAGGAGTTGTACGATGTGACTCATTTGACCAAGTTTAGATTGTGTTCTTGGCATAGCTGACACAAGCTTATTAAATGTCTTTCCTGTAACAGTTTCTGAACCAAACTGATGGGTTTCCCTGTGCTGTCATTATGTCATTTACTAGAAAGCACAAAAGGTCAGTTTACCACAAAAACAAACACGCTCACATAAGTTTTAGCTTATAAAATGACAACTCAGGCAAGAAAGACAAATAATTTTGGTTTAAACCCAAAAAGGTCTTTGAAACTTGAGTCCCTTCTCAAACTCCACCAAAAACATGAAATATATTAAAATCTCATTCCTAGCTGAATGGTTAGTAAATAATATTAGCCATCTCTCAGGCTAAATGTATTAACGTACTCTAGTCTTACCTTACTGTTAGATAACACACGTAATGCCTATTTACTAAAAACACAATTCTAGTGGGTTAAAAATGAAAAGTGCATAAAATGAGGAAAGTAGGGACATACGTGAAGACGACAAGGAAGCAGCACAATCCAGGTCACTAAGGAATTAATTCAGGGGTCAAAGGTCATGGTCAAAGTGTCAAGACAGTGGTTGACATCTTTAGGGCTACTTCAGAAAGGTTTCTGTATTCACTAAAAATACAATTTGTATGCTTTATATTTAAAGGGGTGTAAATGCAAATAGAATGAGAATAGATCAAATATATCCTACTCTATTGAAGATGGAAACCTGGAGCAAAAATGATCAAAAGAATCAAACTCCCTTGTCTTCAGGTTTGAGTAGCAGAACCATTTCAAGCCAAACTTAAAGTACAATCTGCAGTGATGCCTTCTGAGTGTACATATGAACAAATCACTCATTTCCCTTAAATACACAGTCCCTGAATATTATTTCAAATAACACACCAGTTACATGTAGCAGAACAAGTGCCTGTACAAACCCAAATATATCCTGAGCAGTCCAGATCTTCTCTTTTGTGACAAAACTTCCCAATAACCAATTCAGTGCAAAGAAAAGAGAGGAGCTTACGTCCAGATACACCAGCATGCTGAGGGACGCAAATGCTTGCTTAGACCTTCCACCTGCCCCTGTAATGTTGCAAAAATAGACAATATAGCAGGTAGATGTTCTACTAAATGTCTAAAAAGCTTTAGCTATCTATAACGCAGGACGGACTGACCAACTACACAGAGGAACTCACAGGAACTGCTGAATGAATCAAGACAAACCCCTAAAATGAGGCTGTGGAGATGCGACCATCCATTTCACTTGCCATATTCCATTCTCCTTCGTGTTCATCACCTCAATCTTGTTTATATGATTCACTAGGATGAATGAAAGTCACAGTAAATTCACTTTAAACCTACAGAAACCTTCATATTTCCAGTTCTTTACAGCATTCCTTTAAACTTCCTTCCATCGATTCAACATTCAACAACCCTCGACACGTACATATCCCTTCCTGATCTATCCAACACTTCACAGCTCCACAGCCTCACGTGTTAATGGAGAGAAAATAAGTGCGATGACTTGTTAATGAAAGTAAATAAAGGATAAAGGGACATAGATGAACAATAAAGGAAAAAAGAAATTTAGATGGGAGAAAAATAGGATTAGAAGTCTTAGTTTCCTCTGGAGTGCTATAAGGCCTTTAAAAATCTTCATTTTAACATAAACATGGCAACAAGACACTTTAACTTAATTTTTGTGCTTTAAAAAATGTCTTTCAGCCTCTTTATCAAGGATATGAGGGATAGATATAAAGTCACTCCTGTTGGTCGGAGACCACGCCCACATCCTTATGAATTATGCAGGCAGGGCGGGGCGGGGCCTGAGAAAGGGAGGTGTGTCTACGTGTGCGGCACAGTTCGTTTAGGTTCCTCCATGGTGGAGTTGGAAGGGCCAGGGAAGTAGGGTGAGGAGGTGGGACAGGAAAGGACGGACTGGAGACTGATGCGCTACGGCGGCCAACCATGGCAGGCAGACTTTGATTTCGACGAAGCCCATCCAATAAGCTGCCTCCTCCTGTTGCTAGGAAGGTGGCAGATTCCTGTGGATGGGCACCTTCGGCGCCTGACCCTTGGAGGACTTTTTTATCCAAGCCTAGCTTGCGAAGATGCTCCACGAGGTTGACGGCGTGGCAGTCGGGTTTGGTCGATGGCCCATGAGGAGATCGATCAGGGGTCAGGAGATCCGGTCGCGGGGCACGGCCAAGTTTCAGCCTGTAGACGTCTTGCAGGAAGAGCTCGGTGGGACGGGATGCTAGGAAGTTGTCCGAAGAGGTGGATCGGGAGTCGAAGGGCACAGGAGAGGGGCATGGGGAGTGGGAGTTTGGAGGAGTGCTGGGAAGACGACGTAGAGAAAGAAGCTTTTTGGGTGCTGGCACAGCGGCGGGACCCTGAGCAGAGATGCCTTTCTCCAGCAGGAGCTTGGCGAGACCACCAGGGGGCGCCGCAGGACGGCGAACGGGGAAAGAATCGCCCAGACTCAACCTGCAGGGTGTGACTGGAGTACTGGGACCGGTCCGGAGAGAACTCGGGGTGTTATCACTCACAGAAGGACTGCAGGCAGAGCTGATAAACAGAAAGAAAACAGTAATATGATCAAACAGATCCAAGCATAAGAATATATTAAAACAATATATATGTATGTATGCATATTATATAATATATTGTATATACCCTGCTCAAAAAAATTAAAGGAACACTTTGAAAACATCAGATCTCAATAGGGAAAATATCATGCTGGATATCTATATTGATATGAACTGGGTGATGCCACATCGTTTGATGGAAAATTGAAAAAAAGTGAAAAAATGATGCAGCAGGCTAGTCCATTTGGCTGAAATTTCATTGCAGCAACTCAGAATGGTACTCAGTAGTTTGTATGGCCCCCACGTGCTTGTATGCATGCCTGACAACATCAGGGCATGCTCCTAATGAAACAATGGATGGTGTCATGGGGTATTTCCTCTCAGATCTGGACCAGGGCATCACTGAGCTCCTGGACAGTCTGAGGTGCAACCTGGCGGCGTCGGATGGACCGAAACATAATGTCCCGTTGCCGGGCAGTGAGCACAGGGCCCACTAGAGGACATCGGGCCCTCAGGCCACCCTCATGAAGTCTGTTTTTGATTGTTTGGTCAGGTATCGGTATCATGCTACCAGTAGTGACACTGACCCTAGCCAAATACAAAACTAGTGAAAAACAGAAAAGATGAGTATGGAAAAAAAAATGTCAGTGGCCTCCACCTGTAAAACAATTCCATATTGGGGGTTGTCTCATTGTTACCCATCTAGTGTACCTGCTGTTAATTTCATTAACACCAAAGCAGATGAAACAGATTAACAACTCCCTCTGCTACTTAACTGACCAGATCAATATCCCAGGAGTTTAACTGACTTGATGCTATACTCTGATTAAAAAGTGTTCCTTTAATTTTTTTGAGCGGTGTATAATATATATATATATATAATAGAGTTTAATGATTAAGTGCCAAAATAAATAAATTATAAATTAAAAATAAATAGACAACACTTCTTTCTATTTTGTTACCTTTGCTGGTTGCACAGATCAACAAACATACAGGGTGACCACTCTGATTCATCAGCGTAGAACTCTTTTGAATCAGTTCTTCTGATTTTACTTTTAAGTAAAAGTTCTTTATAATGAAAAAAATCAGTGTCAAACTCACTTGCATACTAAAATCTGACAGTTCCTGACTTACTAAAGTAAAAAAGTGCAGTTCAGTAAGACAGCAATAGATAGATGTTGTACCTGGCTGTAACCTGTGTGCTGTCACTGGGATGCAGGATCC